GTGTGTGTGTGTGTGTGTGTGTGTGTGTGTGTGTGTGTGTGTGTGTGTGTGCGTATGCGTTTTCGTGGGTGCGTATACATATGCGTTTTCGTGCCCCATGTGTACGTATGCGTATGCGCATGCATGCGTGTATGTATGTATATACGCATGCGCGCACGCTTTTGTTTATTTTGTGTACATATTTCTATTTATGCGCGCGCGCATGCGTTTTTCCATTTTTTCATTTACACATCCTTTTTGACTTTAACACTAAACTTTTATACGAAACTTTTTTCTTTTACTTAAATTACTTTATTTCCCAAAAATATGTTTGCAACACTTTAACTCGATCACACTCATCCTTCATACAAATTTCTTTTTATTTTTGGTTGTTTCATTTTAAGCTTACAAAACTTCTGGATAAATAATATTTTTAATTTTCCTACTTATTGGTAATAAAATGTATTGATTTTCTGCATTTCCAGACCTAGATAATCCAACATATAATTGTCCATGTGAAAAACATTCTTCACGCAAATCAATTCCAACATATTTAAACGTCTGTCCTTGTGATTTATTAATTGTAATTGCAAAAGACACTTTAATTGGAAACTGTTGTCGTTTAAATTGAAATGGCAAATCCGTTGGAATCATAGGGATTCGAGGTATATAGGCGAGTTCACCTGCTGCTGGATCAGTAAGGATGATAGCTTCGATTATATTGTTGCACATATTTTTGATCTGTAATCTAGTGCCATTACATAATTTCGGTGGATTCAAATTTCGCAACAACATTATTGATATTCCGATTTTCAGTTTCAGATAATGCTTTGGAAAACCTGATGGATTAAGTGCGTTTAAAAATTCTTGAGGATAGTGTACTACATCGTCATTATTAATGACGGTATCAATGGATCTGTATTCTCGGCTTTCACAATCTATCTTCTCCAAAATTATGTTGTTTATCTCCTTTACTGATGCGTTTCTTGGCGATACAATTGCTCTTTCACATAGCCAATTATAAGATTTGTCTACTAAATTTTCAATATCAGGGTAAATTTCATCAATCAATTCGATTATAGTATTTACAACCTTTCCTATTTTCTCGTCAATATTTATGTAACCATTGTCATTAATTATTTTTCCCTCTCCTATATTTATTAATTGCTGTGAAAATTCAAAGTCCCTTCCCCCAAGATGTGCTCTCATATTGGTTCTCAAATTCAATTTTTCTATAAAATTCCACATGTAAGATGATTTTAAACATGCCTTTATAATATCTGCTCTTGTTCCTCTTGGAATAACTGGTAATGTCTGCCGAAAGTCTCCTGCAAAAACAAATGTCACTCCACCCATTGCTTTATTACATGATTTTAAATCTCTTAGGGTTCGATCGATTGCTTCAATGTAGGCTCTGTGACTCATCGTACACTCATCCCACACTATTTGTCCGAAAGTAGAATTAGAATCGGGCAATAACGCAAAGAGACGTCGATGGTTTTCTTCTCGAGACATGTTCGAGAGAATTCGATGAAAGGAAAAACACCGTATTATTTGTTATTCCTCCTGTTTGTCGTCGGTGAGTCGGAGGTAAAGTCGAAAAGTCACGCGGTGAAATCGACAACAACCAACGGCAATCAGGACAGCCTCCGTATAGCGGAGTGCTCCGAGCACGTGCGCTTCCATCACGTGACGCCTCATCCACCAACCCCGTCACGGAAATCGGCGTGGAGACGTGACGTAACGAACTTCGGCCCTATGCAACGCGACGCTACGCGGTGACCGCTAATTCCTTCAAGGGAAGCGAGTCCATTGGTCTGATGGATGAGACATCACACCGTTTCCGAACTTATAAGGGTGCGTTCCACTTATCGACCGCAACGACTACGACCACGACCGTGATATTTGCCGTTCCATTAACTTGTGGGCGCTACGAGCAAAATCTTAAGTGGAATGAGTTTTGTGCAGTGAGATGGATGCCAAGATGAATGCCATCAAAATAATAGTGCTGCGCTACAGAAATTGTGACACAAGTGAAGATTCATCGAGTTCTGATGACGAATGGAATGTGTTATTATTTAAAAGAGAAAAGCGTAAACATCGTCCACGAATTCAAAATTATGTCGATAATGTTGTGGTTCGTTACATGGGACACGATTTCAAGAGTCATTTCAGGTTAGTAAATAAACATATACGTTTTATTTTATTTTATAATATATTATATTATAAAAAATATTATTTGTACGTGTAAGCATGTGTGGATAATTGGAAATAAAGTTATGTACAATAAATATATTATAAAATATATATTTATTTTACATAACTTTATTGCCAATTATCCACACATGCTTACACATACAAATTGTTGATATTAACATTTCTTTTTGTTTATAGAATGTCAAAAGCAACTTTTCAATATTTGTTAGAAATGCTAAGACCGTATTTGACCAGAAAAACAAAAGGATGTCCTATGATTCCAGCTTCTCATCAATTAATGATAGCTATTTGGAAAATGGCAACCATGGACTCTTACAGGTACAATATAAATTTTCAAAATAATGCAATGAATAATTGTTAATTTACAATAAAAAATATTTAATAAATTTCTTTTTTAAAGATCTGTTTGCGATAGATTCAATGTTGGAAGAGCAACTGCTGTTCGAGCTGTGCGAAAAGTTACCCGTGCACTTTTTTTAAATTCGTCAACATTTATTAAGTGGCCTACTGGTGATCGTGCTATAAGGGTTATGCAAGGATTTAAAGAAAGCAGTGGATTTCCAAATACCATTGGGGCCATTGATGGTACCCACATTCGAATTGATGCACCAAAAGAAAACCATGTCGATTACATCAACCGTAAAGGATTCCATTCGATACAGTTACAGGTAATAACAATTAAATCTGTTGATCACAAATACAATTTTTTAGAAATGTTTCATTATGTACGTTTGTTTTGTATTATGTATTTATTACATTATGTATTTATTTACAGTTAGTGTGTGATCACAGAACTTTGATCACACACTGTTATGCTGGGCATCCTGGGTCAGTTCATGATCAACGAGTTTTTCGCCAATCTGAGGTAGCAAACTATTTAAATGATGAAGAGAAATTTCCAGCAGACAGTCATTTATTGGGAGATGCGGCATACGAGATTCATCAACACTTATTGACTCCCTTTAGAGACAATGGACACCTAACAGAGGCACAAAACAATTATAATTATCGCATGTCTGTAGCCAGAGTTACAGTCGAGAGGTGCATCGGTTTATTGAAAGGGCGCATGAGAAGTCTATTGCACTGTTTGCCTATGTCAAGAGTGGCCTTAATGGCGGAATATGTGATAACTTGTTGCGTAGTCCATAATATCTGTACATTAAGAAGTGATGACATACCCGAAGTTATCACCATACCCCCAGCCTTACAAGAATGCAACAGAGCTGAAGAAAATTTGCAAAGAAGACAGAATGCTGGAGGAGTTGCCAAAAGAAATTTGATTATGCACACTTTATTATAAGATTAAAAAATCATTATTGTGTTAGTTTTTGTATATATGAATTTTTTAAATAATACATGTACTTTTCTTACTATGTACTAAATTATGTACTAAATAAAAATGTCATTAAATATTAAAACATTACTTAAAAGTTTGAAACAAATGTTTTATTGTTCTTTATTTAATTTTAAACTTACAGTTTTTAACCTTTATCCAGCTTTTAACCTTACAGTTTTTAACCCTTAACAATTTTTAACCTTAATCTAATTATAAAAATAAAAATGTAAGAAAATATGCGAACTGTTTTGTTAATTTTAATTGCTTTAACAAATGTGAAATGAACTTAAATGTTGTAATACAACTTTGGATTGTAAATAACATGTAACATAACTTAATATCGATACTCAATATATAACATGTTAATTTCATACAAAATAAAATTTTTTTCCCTCACAAAATAATTATTACAATTGACTTAGTGTGAGGTATCATAAAACAAAACATTAAAAATAATACAAAAAATAACATAAGTAAAACGAACAGTCTTATTATTTGTACTACAATTTGAAAATAAACGAGAAAATGTTGCAGTTTCTTACGTTAAGTATTACTGTTAAGGTAAATCAACTTAACTCTCTATGTATGTATCGCCATC